AGGGCCTGGGGGATGGGGGTTTTCTTCCACCAGCTGCCAGTCCTGACCTAAGAAACCCGAGTTTTTATAGCCCAAGATTTAAATTCTGTGCTTCTGTGCTGGGGGTTGGGGAGTTTACAGGAAAGAGGTTTCCTACAGGGAAGTTTGGGAGATAAACTACAGCTGATGCTCCCTCCCACCTAAAACCCTCCTGCTCTCTCTGCCTTTTTTTCTCCCAAAAAATACCTGCGCAGCCAAAGACTGAACAGCAGCACCCTCCTTTTTATCCATCTGCAAGTTTTAAAACAATTTAGATCCCAATCTCAGTTTGTCAAAAACTGCTTTATTCTGAATCAACCTTCTGGAGAACCTTCAGGTAATAAAGGAGATAACCAGCACCAACATCAGTCCATCACAGGTACCTCACCAGAAATCATAATCTTGCTTGGGTGTAAACTTGCATGGGTATCACTAAAGGGCACCGCTCACCCATGTTGCCTTTCTCCTCTTGGCTTAACTGAGATGTCCACAAATTGCTGGTGGCTTCTGAATTTTAGCTTGACGGCCACCTCCGCTTGCGATGGGTGGCAGAAGTAATTCCAGGAGACATCATCAGAATTGTAAGAACTTCCTATTTACGCTCATGATTAGAATCAGTGAAGGTGCTCATGGATTTTAACTCCAGCCGATTGTTTCGTGGAGGGACGCAGCAGAAAAATCTTCACATCACCTTGTTGCAGATGGTTCCCAGCTCATCAATTTCACACTGTACTTCATCTCCTCTCTGTCGGGACAACAGGATTACAACAGCCCTGTCCCTTAATGAATTGCAAGAACAGGTAGCACGCTCCCAGGAAGATGCAATTTCCAACACACACAGACCTCATCTACCTCAAACCTCTCTCTCCCAATGCGCACTTCAAGTCCTAAACACATAATGTAAGGCCATGCTAAAGTTTGTCCTGAAAAACAGCCCGTTTGGACTACATTTCCCAGTTCAGAACTGCATATAGGGTTGCAGGAACCAGACAGGGTTGCCTGTCTGCCCTCCCAAAATGGGGCAGTACATCACATGCAAGGGGGGTAAAGCGATTGGGAAATAAAAGATATTTCAGCGGCACTCCTAAGCACATTTTTCAGAATGGCCTTTTGCAGCCTGGCATCCTGCAGTTGGGCTGGCCTACAACCTCTGCAGGACTTGGATTATGGAGCTTGGAATGACAACTGATGTGCCATTTTGTGCTCAGAAAAGAGCAGTGGACTACTGATGTCAACACTGCAGAGGGAGAAGAAAATACAGAAATCCCAGAAATGACTCCACTCAAAACCATTCCAAGAAGGGCAGAAGACCAGAACCTTTGATGAACTAGGAACAGCAGTCACCTTGAGGAAAGTGGGGGGCTTCCGGAAAACTCCAACCCCTGGTGGTGTCCCAGTGAGGAAGACATCTCCTGGGTACAGTGTGACAAACCTGCAAAGAACATCAAGCACAGCAAGACTTAGAAAGAATTAGCAGAACAAGAACAGCCTGATGGAGAGCTAGTGGTTCAGATGTCACATCTGGACAAGAAGATCCTGCTTTAAGAGCCCTCAACTATGGAAGGTTACCTGCGGCTTTTGGGGCAGTCACTCACTCTCAGCCCAGTAATCTTTCTCACAAGATTACTGTAATGAGGGTAGAATTATGGGTGACCTCAGCTAGGTGGTGACAGCATCTAGCTGGTCTTGAAAAACTGAACAGGGTTCTACCAGTAGATCCCACAGCTGTAAGCCAGACTGAGGTCAAAGAACCATCTCAAAGTAATGGCAATCCACTTCTGACTGTCACCAATGAAATTGCCCAGATGCATCCATAAAGTCACCAGGAATCAAGCTGACCTCAAGGAGGACTTACCTTTAACTCTTGTCAGCCACCTTGCGCTCTCAAGAAAAAGGCAAGCGGCTACAAATTCAATCAAACAATATATAACTCTGCCAAAACTGTTGAACAGCTGTAAAGACAGTAGCTTAGACCACCACAAATCCATGCTGAAGCCAGTCTGCCCCAGCTTGATGCCCTCCAGATGCGTTAGGACCGTATCTTCCCATCTTCTTGGGGAGCTATAGTTCAACATATCTGGAGGCATCGGATTGAAGGGGGTGCAATGGGCTTATGAGCAGTGGTGTCGCCAGGCCCATTCCCTAACCCTGCCCTCCTTTGCTGGAATGGGAGGCAAATGAGTTGAGCCACCATTCCATCTTCACTGCTTCTCCTCATATATCATTCAAAAAGCGTCCACGGACAGCCTGATGCCATAGCTACAGAAGGAACGGTCAAGGAACCATCCAGGACTTGGTTTGACCATCCCTGAGAGAAGTGCCTCTAGGTTACTTCCTCCTCTCGAGAATTTATTGGCTTTGCTACTCCTGGGGAAGGCAACAACATTTCCTTTTAGGAGTTCTCAGGATTTCAGCTGTCTTTACCTCAGCATATTCACAGAAATGCAGCTCCCTCAATCCCAACTATGCTGCTCATTTTATAAAACCCAAGACTTCCCATGTGCCACATTTAGGATAAACAATAGAAAATGCAACAAATAAGCATGTGAGCTCACGGAGACATGGCTTCCTGCCTGAACTCCACAGAGGTATCTTCCAAAACTTGGCCCTGAAGGAGATCCAGGCATTCCAAATTCTGGCTAGAGACTCCTTGTGTGTAGATGGGAAAGGAGAAAATGGCGATCTGAGTCTGGCTGGGACCCTCTGCTTCTTCACCCTCTGACAATGCCTCTTATGTTGCTCTGGCACCTGCCAGTTATGTTGGACTGCAACTCCCATCCTTTCCAGCCACAAGGCCAACGGGAGGAGTTGTCCAACATATCCAAAGAGCATCGAGACTGGGGAAGGATGCTCTAGCAGAAGTAGTGGAACTTAGTGGAACTTGTCGGTGGTGGAACCCCAACCCTCTTCTGAAGGTCAAAACTGCCACCTTAACCTGGGCCTGTGCTGGGTTTTGCCCCCATGGGCGGCTTTCTTACGAGGTCACTGCAAAGAATGAGGATGGGGGCAACACTCACTGGGAAACCCATGCGACAAGCGCCTCTGTTTTGAAGATCATCTGGTTGGTGCTGCTGTTCTGGACAAGTTCACCGTTCACTCGGCAGCGGATGCCCAAATTGTGAGGATCTGGATAGGAACAGGAGAGCATAGAGCCATAAAATTAAAGGGACGTTGTTTTCCCAGAACAGGAATGTTAAAACAGAACCAAAAGAGGAAATGCACTTTCCAAACAGGACAAGAGACCTGTACGAAATCTGCACCTTTATATGTGCAAATGCAAGTATGGGAGCCTGTCATTTAAATCGGCACACAACACAAGGGGGACATCACCAGTGTGCAACTTCCAGCCATTCCCAAGCGGGCGTCCCCAGGCTCCTTGGAGTCAAGCCATGTGGGCAGCCCTCCTTCTCTGCCCTCTGGTGCCCTCCTGGCTGATCTGCACCCTTATGAGGGCTGCCCCAGGCACTGAGGGCCTCTGACCACCCAGCCCAGCAAAGATGCTTTCTGGGTCAACTGCAATGGCCCAATGAGGAGAAGCACAGCCAGGCATTTAGAAGGGAGCAGTTGTAGGAAGTGGAAGGGAAACATCCAGGCCAGGAGAGGACCCCGGAGGCCAGCCAGAAAGTGGGGAGAGAGCAGGAGAAGACCAGGCTGGGAGAAGTTGCAGGGCAGAAAAGAGGAAAGATGACTTGGCACTGTGATTCCAAGCCTCACTTTCCAATCTTAGAAAGATCATTTTTATTTGGAGATGATCCTCTGGCTTCCTCAGTATTTTGCCCACAGGATCACTTAGGTGTACAGCATGGCTGGCTGGCCAACTGATTGATGGATTAACTGAAAGCAATGGTTCTCAAGAAAGGTCCTTCTGCTCTGCTTCTCCCAGCCAAGCCAAGGGTCTCAGATGCCTACCGCACTGGCTAGATTCATTACAAAAACATCTCAGAGGACATTTTTGTGCAAAGCAGACGCCCTCTACAATGTCTTTAAATCCAGAAATGTTTCACCAGAAATTAAGCCAAGGGACAGGTATGCTTGGGTGGGTAGCTGTGTGTGTGGGTGTGTGTGTTTGTGGGTGTGGGTGTTTGGAACACTCTGTTTCTAGGAAATTGCTTACTGTCATGTTCCTCCAAAATGCATACAAAGGAGAAAGACTGAATTACATAGCGCTTTCCCCCATGCTAACCCCTCGGATCCCAATCAAGGCAGGCTCATCTTATTTATTTCTTCGCTGGTCTGCAAATTTTTTCTTGCTTCCTAAAACCAGCTGGACTCTAGGTAGCTTACAGAAATTAAGTGTTCCAAATAAAATACAAATAAAAAATGAAAATGCAATTAAAATGCAAAGCCAGATTTGTACTTTTGGGCTTGCAAGATTGATGTCAGCCTTCCCAGGTAGACCAGACAGGAAACACGACCAGATGAGCTAATTCTACTTTCTTGTAAGGCTACATTAACAGAATCTTCAAGTGTGAAAGTACAGATCTCCTGCGGTCTTCTTTACAGCCTGATCAGTTAGGGAGAATCTTTTCTGAGTTTCTTCCTCTGCCCGATATGCAGCTGTGGGTTCTCCCCCTCATCCGATTGTTCCCTAGGCAGCACCTCTTCCTCCCGTCTCCCAAGGTCATTCCCACATACCATTTCAATACCTCCTGGTAGGTGGGGACCTTCAGCAGGTGCTCCCTGGCCTGTGTAGGATGGGCAGAAACTAGAGGGGAAGGCGACCTCCACATACCCAGGCCTTACCCATACAGGTTTTCATAGGTAGCGATCAGCATCTTGAATTCCATTCAGAAACCCGCTAGTAACCAGGGCAACCTCTGTAGCAAAAGGGTAATGTGGCAGTATCAGGACTGACCGCTAAGCATGTTTCATTCCAGACCAGTGAAATGTTTGGGTGGTCTTCAAGGGCAGCCCCATGTAGAGCAAGTTACAGTCATCTAACTGAGAGGTGACAAGGCTATGAGTGACCTGTCTTCAGTGCATCCTGTTCCAGGTATGGCTGTAACTGGAGCAGGCATCTGAGTCCAGGAGGACCCTCAGATTGCAAACCTGCTTCTTTCTGGGAGAGCACACCCCCATCACAAGTCAAAAATGTGCAGTCCTGGAATTAGTTGGCATCTGAATCAACAGCCCCTCTGTCCTGTTCGGGTTGACCTCCCCCGCATCTCCAATGGGCCTGCGATGGAGTTGCATAACTGAGTATCATCAGCAAATTGATGATACTTCACCACGAACTGGCTGATGACCTCTCCCAGAGGTTTTACATAGAAGTTGAAGAGGACAGAGGAGAGGACTGAACCTTGAGGGTCTCTGTAACAAAGTTCCCAGGGGTCCAAACTCTCTCTCCCCCAACTGTCACCCTCTGGACCCACCCACTCAGGAAGGAGTGGAACCACCACAACACCATGCCTCCAACTCCAATCTCCCACTGGTGGTCCACCATATCAAAAGCTGCTGAGATATCTAGGAGGACAAGAACGGTTGTGTCACCTCCATCCAAGCTCCTTCAAAGCTCATCCATAACCACAACCAATATAGTTTCTGTTGCATGCCCAGGTCTGAACCCAGACTGCCAGGGGCCCAGATAATCCCTATCCTCCAGAGTCCCCTGCAACTGCAGCCCCACCACTTATCTTCTGCTCCAGCTTGCAAAACAAGGAGGCCCAAAGAAGGCCAGAAGAGTGACTTGCAGCTTCCAAACCTGACACGGAGTCCTTGGTGACGAGAGCTGGGCCCAGCGGGCAAAAGGTGTCAAAAGTCTTCCCTAACAGCCACTGCTTCCCGTTCCTCATCTGCCAGTCTCGGGCACTCACATCGTGGGCCACCATAAAACCAGCCACGTGGGCCATGGCATTAGATTCCTGGGGAGGAAGAAAAGGAGGCCACAAAAATATTCTACCTCAAGATTGATTGACTGATTGATTGACTGATTGATCATATTTATATAGCCGCCCATCTCATGCAAGGAGACTCTGGCATCTGTTGGGTGTCAGGGCACAGGGAGTTGGGAATCTGGGCTGGGCAGAAGCCTCCTCCCTCCCCTGCTCCACAATGGCTCTGTGGCCACGAGATGCTCGGCAGCATCTGCCCCGTCCCTTCTGTCCAGTCAGGCCAGGCTCAGAAGATCTGGTGCTTCCTACCTGTCACCCATCTGTCACCTGCCTGGTTTTGTTCCTGGGGCCCTCCTGCCCTTTCTTTGAAAAGCGCATGCATTCGCAAGACCGAAACTATTAATACAGAACTAATACTTCGATGTGAATTGCAGCGGTTCTTTTCTTATGCTATACTTCATTTCGGATGAAAAGTCAAATCATTTGATGTTTTGTAACGTGGACACCCTAAATTGCAATTAACACGGATGGAAGTTTTACTTTTCTCTTTTTGATTCCCAATACTTCAAGCTGTCTAAATAATAGAGTGTTCGTAATGTTCAACCACATTATATAAATGTGGCTGCATTGAAATCGACATTGAAATAATACAATGCTTCAAGAGTTTTAACATCACATAGAAATGTTCTTTAAAAAAGAAAAGGCACATTTTCTCATTCTCTCCTTCCTTCTCTCTTTCCCCTCCTACCTGTGATTCTGGGAGTTGATACCATTTGGAGAAGGCTAATCTAAAATAAATCAAAGTAGCAAGTGGCCAGAACTATGAACTCATGCCGGAGGCCCTCTGTGACATTTATTTTCATCCCATTCTCACTCGGTTTGATCAAAGCTTTTGATTTCTTCTTTCAAAAGAGAAGAGAATCCGGGTGACATTGTCCTAGGTCCAGCGAGATATTCCTGAATGAATGTACGGATAAAACAGCCAAGGGGTATTTATAAGCATCCTGTCTTTTATGGCATACTTCTCTCTCCAGCACCCTTTGAAGACCAGCTGTTCATTCTCCACAACATTTTCACCACAAAGGCAAAAGAAAATTAGAAAATTTCTCCTTCCGCTGGAGAAATTCAGGCAATGCCTTCGCCCAGTTTTTCTGCCAATAAATTCAGCTGAAATGTATTGGCAGAAATAAATTTTTGAAAGCAGTTTTGCACCCAACTCTGCTTATAAAACATCAAGACAGTATCAAACTGGACAATAACAGAATCGATAAGCAGAGAGGACCCTCCTTTCCTGCTTCTTTCAAAGGTCCCTTCCAACACTATGATTCCACGACCAATGGCTTCAGTGGGACTAACAATAAAGCCTCGGAGCAGAACCAAAACGGTCTTAAGCCCCACCTCCAATCTCCCAAGCCCCACCGCTTCCTTTGGGGGGCCTGGGAGACTCTCCCATTCCTTCCTTCTTGCCAGCATATCTGGATCTAGTCTCTACCTTCTAACTTAGCCCTGGTTTTGCCCTGGCCATCAACAAGATGGTGCGGCTTGGCCACCTCGCCATCTGACTCCAAGGGGCTGACCCTGTTAGGATTTAGAGACCACGGCAAAGTCCTTCAGCATGCTGTGAGATGTCTGACCTTCCAGTCATCCCAGCTGAAGCATTAATGAGACTGAAGCCCTGTGTCTTAAGTCTTGGGGAGAAAGTAGAAAGTGCTGGAGAATGAGAGAACCCCACTGGTCTTTTGTTCCATCCAGGGCCAACTAGATGCTCATCAGAAGGAGCACATGGGGCCATAGCACGCTCCCCCATGCATCCAAGCCCTAAATGTCTTTGCATGCCTTCATTCTACATCTGCTTGTCCTTCCTCTCTTCCCTTTCACTTGTCTGCTCATCATGACCAATTAGACCAAACCGCTCCAAGGGCATGGAGACCTTTCTCTTTTCAAGTTAAAAGATGCCTCAGAGCTCCAAGGCCACTAACAATGCTGACAGAGGACAACAGGCCTTTGGATTTCTCCTTATTCAGCTGCAATCCTCTCTGTACCTTTAAGGAAGAAATAGCACGAATTTACTCCCATGCAGACACATTCAGGGCCACACTACGGCTCTCCTTACCCTGGAGAGTGGCTAAACTGAAGGGAGACAAACATCATCAAGGCTACTTTCTAACGCCAACTCTCAGCTGCTCCCTGCCAACTTCTGAGTTACCTGGATGTGTTTTCCTTTCTTCCCAATGACAAAGGCCAGCTCAACTTCCCAGTCAATTTCCTAGAAGAGGAAACACACAAGGATGAGCCTCTGGCTTGCTGCCCAAAGGGCCAAGGGACTCCAGAATGGCCGCAGAGGACCATCCACCCCATTTCTGTCCCACCACCTGTTGCAGGAGAGTGTGTCCATGGCAAGGGGGTGTCCAAGGTGAGCTAAGGTAGAAACAGCCCAGGGAATAATACAAGCCAGGGGAGAAGCACCTCAACAGTCCTGCTGATGCAAATTATTTAGATTTTTAAGTAATAGTATAGCTGTAATGCTGCAAGGGGTGTAAACAATAACAAGGACATTCACACTTAATTTTATAACATCCACTGTTCTGCAGAAAAAGAATCTCTTGAAAATACAGGTAGTCCTCACCTAACGCCCATGCCAGGGACTGGAAAATTGGTTGTTAAGTGGGGTGGTCATTAAGCAAGTCACCACGTGACCAGACCCAGCTTTATGACCTTTTTTATGATGGTCGTTAAGTGAATCGCATGGTTGTTAAGTGAATCCAGTTTCCCCAATGGACATTTTTGGCTGGAATTCACTTAATAACATGATTTGCTTAATGGCTGTTGTAAAAAAGGTTGCAAATCATGATCACGTGACCGCAGAGGGTGGTCCAATGGTTTGCAATGGTTGTAAGTGCAAGTACAGGTCATAAAGCACTTCTTCCAAGGCCGTTGTAACTTCGAACTGCCGTTAAATGAACGGTCGTTAAACGAGGACTACCTGTATTGTCTGCCATAGAAAAAGACTGGAGGCTGCACAGGTAAGGCATGTAAAACAGGGACCAAAGATTGGGTTGCGTAGTCATGGCTGCCATCTTGACTTTGTTGACACACACAGAAAGACCCCGTGGAGCCCCCGAGCAAGAGGTAGGAGACTTAACTCATTTCTGTGAGTTCATCCTATTCAAAATAATGGAAAAGGGTGAGCAATCCACAACTATCAGCAGTCCCCAGCATTCCAGTTTGGCAGGAAAAGGCTAATTTTCAGCAGCAGAATTCTTTTCTTTTTAAAAATAATGGTGGGAGAGGCCTCTGGAAGGTAAACTGCTCCTATTTCAACCCTTGAAACCCCTATAAGCCCTCTCCTTGCCTGAAATCACATTCTTTTGCCACCAAAATCCAGCAGCACAATTATCAGCTGGTTTGGAAGGACCAAGGGGTACAGAGGGGCCAGAACAGGAGACTTTGCCCCTGAGACTTTCCATTCTCGTTCCCAACCGTAAACCCTACCTCCCCATCCGAAGAAGGTCCAAAAACCTTCTTCAGGTGGATGGGAAACAAGCCGAGGCCTCCAATCCAAGGGAGGCTGTCTAGGGGTGGGAGGAGATGGTCGTCCAGATGGAGGGATTTGCAACTTTGATCGGAAATTTGTTTTCATAGGCAATGTTGGCTAAGATTTTAGATGTACTTACTGGAAACATTTGTTTTGGGTTTTTTTTATCCCTTCAAGTTAGCTTTGATTCCTGGCAACTGGAAAAGTCCCTGCAGTTTTCTTGGTAACATTTTTGGAAGTGGTTTGCCCTGGCCTTCTTCTTCCTGGGGTTGAGAGAGAGGGACTGGCCCAAGGTCACCCAGCTGGCTTTGTGCCCAAGATGGGACTAGAGCTCATGGTCTCCCTGTTCCTGGTCCAGCTCCTTCACCACTAGATCAGATTGACTCTCATACTTTGAGTCATACTTGACTCCTGGTGACCTACATGGGCATGTCTCTAGAGTTTTCTAGGCAGCATTTTTAGAAGTGACTTGCCCTGGCCTTCTTCCTAGGGCTGAGAAAGAGGGACTGGCCCAAGGTCATCTGGCTGGTTTCATGCCTACAATGGAACCAGAAGTCACAGTCTCCCTGTTCCTAGTCACCACTACACCAAAGTTGCAAACTCCCTTTTCTGACTATTTTAGACACCATTTGGTATGTATACAAAAAACAGGTGGAAGGACCCATCCCAGCTTCTGCCTGCCACATTGCTTCTCCCTACCTCCTGGAAGCCATATCAGGTAGACCATTCCCACCACTTCTCTGAAAGGACCCAGCTTGCAAACAGACTCACGTTGCTCTCCGCCGGGTGAATAATGGCATCATAAGGTCCCACAATGGAACTGGGGAACTTGCTGAAGATGATTGGCTCCTTGGGGATCTTGACATTCTGCTCCAGGCAGTGGTCCACGTAGTTCATGCCAACACAGATCACTTTATCTGGGTTGGTGATGGGAGCCAAGAGGGTCAGTTCAGACCGGGGCAGAGAAGGACAGCCAGATTGCTGTGCTCTGTGGAAGGAGCTCAAAAACATCAATGCCTTCAAACAGGGGCTGCAGGACAACCACAGATGGTACAAGAAACTGCTCTTCTGAATGTGGTAGATGGGGTTAGAAGGATCTTGGCTTTCCCAAAATCTACCAAATGTGCTTCACTGTAAGAAACAACACAACAAATGCAGGATGTGGCCCTTCTCCTTCATCTCTCCCCTCCTGTGGAATGCAGTCCTTCAAGAGATGCCTCTGATCCTCTCTGTCTTAGGAGAGCAGCTAAGACCCATCTCTTCCGCCAAACCTTTGGAGCCCAATCATTTTATTCCTCCCAGCATGATTTCCATGTCTCATTTTGCACATCCAGTTTTCTATTTTGCACATTCATTTTCTTCTGTAGCCTTTCTGCTTATTTTGAACAGGAAGGCAGCATAAAATTCAAGTATAATGGACTTCCATTTTCACCGCATTAAGGAGAAAGGCAAGATCTGCATATCCTGAATGATAATATGAAACTTCTCTCAAACCTACTGCACTAATCCCGAGAAGGGTTCCCTCTCTTCAGCCTGGACTCCAGGGTTACTTGCTGGAAACCCATCAGAGTGGTGCATCATGGATGACGTGAATCAGAAGCGTCCACGTGAAATGGTCCAAAAGGTCACGATGGCAATGATGCAATCAAAGCTCTGCCTGGTTTTTGTGTGCTCTGGTCACACCGTCATGGCTGCCATTTTGACTTCTTGGACCACATCCTGTAGACATCCCTGGTGTAACTGAAGATTGTGATATTTCTACAGAGTTGCACTAGTAAGGAACTTACAGTACCTGCTCAACAGGTAGGAAGGGCAGAAATTTGTGTAACAAGCTCCATTTCAGCCGGAAGGCTAAGCTACAGACCTTTCCAAAAAGGTGACTTTGGAAAGGGGTCTGTAGATGAAGCTGGGAATATGGGCAAGGCTTCCAAGGAGCATCCCAGAGGGGTTTCTTCTCCCCACACTTCCCTTCCCGTCTCTCCAGCTTCATCCTCTACTCCCTGCCACCTTAAAAGTTCTGGCAGCCTTGCAACTGAGACCTTTCTTCTTCATCCCCTGCTTCTCCTCTGGACCAGCCAGTAGTTCCATTCTCACATACCTTCTGGCAACTGCAAGCGCTGGCTCCCCTGCCTCCAGGAATTCTCGCAAGGTCTTGGGCAAGGATGCGTCAAAAGCGTTCAGGTCAACCACACTGCCGCCATCTCGCTCCTCCAGCCCAATCCGGGGCTCGGTTGCTGACCCTTTGGCATGGAACTGAACCAGCCTCATGGCCCCGCGCAGCTGGGAAATCCCCCTGCAACCTACGTTCTTCCAAGCCCAGCTCAGCTTGAGGGCCAAAGGAAGAACCCCTGGCAGTGGACACCGCATCCAAACCTGAAGAGAACCCAAAGGGGGCTCTTAGAAAGTGGTCCTGGGGTCTCCTGGCCCTCCCTCTGTTCTCACGTGTGTTTCTTCCCTTTGCTTCAGGGCAGCCTCCACAGCACGGCTTACTCCACTTTTATCCCCACGACCACCACACTCTTAGGTTGAGAAAAAGCGGTTGTCCCAAAGCCACCCAGGAGCTTCCACAGCTGACGATGGGCTTGAACGCCAGTTCTAGGCCAACAGCTGAACCTCTCCATCACACTAGCGTTCCTTCAACTGCCCTGACTCTACTAGTAGTCCCTTCTAAATCGTCTCCTGGGCTCGGCGGTCTAGTTCGGCCCTGCGTGTTGTGCAAACATAACCAGTATCAGAGTGAACCATGGTCTGCCAATTGTGGTTGGTCAAGAAACTTTGGCTCTGTGTGGCGTGTCAACCCAAGGCAGAGCAGGGTAGGGGGCAAAGTTCCATCTGAGAACATCAGAAATATGCTTTGAGAGTCCTCTCTGTGGTATACAGAGTTGTGTTTCTCAACCTTGGCAGCTTGAAGATGGTTGGACTTCAACTCCCAGAATTCCCCAGCCAGCCATG